TGTGAAGAAAGCAGACAGGGCTGACCAGTCGGCGGGAGAAGGGGGAGGGGGATGGGATGTTGATGATGATGATGACACTAATCGCAGTGAGGGTGCGAAGAGAAGCCAACTTGGGATCAACATTGGCACCAATAACACCACCAACAACAACAACACTGTCTCCCCCCCACCCCCCCACCCACCCCCACCCACCCCACCTGCTGCAGCAGCGCGAACCGACTCTTGGTGCGAGCCAACCGCCGGTAGTGGGGGCTGGCGGCAAGACGCTGCTGCAAAGACCGCTCGCTAAGGCTCTTACAAAGCCGTACGGAACGGGTCATCTGAGGAGCCGCCGCCGCCGCCGCCGGCGGATGCATCTGAGCCGCTCGCCGTGCGCGGTGCCGTACGCATCGCCGCTGCGTTGCTGCCGTCCCCAATGCTGCGCCTGCCGCTGCTGCCGATGGCCGCAGCGGAGGCGGCAATCGGGATGATGACTGAGGACGGTGCCGTACAAGAGGTGGGTGACGCGGGGGAACGGGCCCCACCGGCTGTTGGACCAGCGTCTGTCGCCGGCGGCGGACTGTGCGGGTCAGCGCCGTACAGCAATGCGCTCTCGCCGTCAAGGGTCCGCCGCGGCTGGGTGCCGTACAACAGCAACGACGGCGGCGGCGGCAGGGATGAGGCCGTTGCGGTGGTGGCTGTAGCAGCAGATCGGAACACGCCGGCCTCGGACATCATCGCCTGCCAGGCCTGTACGGCACGAGGGTGCGTGTGTGTATTTTGTGTGTATGTATATATGTATATAAACAACGGGGCGTGGGGTTGCAAGCTTAGGGTTGCAAACCCTCAGCAAGAAACAACCGACAATATATAAATATACGTATGTATACATGCACGTGTGTATGCGTGCACAGGCATGTATATCATATACATGCATGTATGCATATATGTACATGCATACACACATGTATATATACATACATATATATACGTATTACGTATATGTATACGATATATATGTCATGGGCGGCACCACCACCGCCCGTATTGTTGGAGCCCGGGGAGGCACGTCGTGGTGGGGTGGTAGGGGGGCGTGGCAGCTGCCTCTCCCACTCACACACAACAGAGACAGACAGACATACAGACAGACAAACAGACAGACCTGCATCAGCGCCGCCCTCCGGTGCTCCTGGTGGGGCAGATGTGACCAGTGAAGTCGGCAGCCAGCCACAACACGGCCCCCGCCGCCGCCGCCGCCGCCGCCGCCAGCCCTAAATCCCGTCTCCCCAGCGGATCGAGACCGCTGGACCTGATGCGCCCGCCTGCCGTACTCCGCCGCCTCCGCCAGGCTCGCGGCTGCGGCTGCGGCCATGGAGGCTGCGGAGCATCCGTCGGAAACGGACCCATGGGACGGCCCCATGTCCGTCACCGAGATGGAAAAGCGCCTCTCGGCCCCCCGGGACCCGGTTGTTGTGGCGGTCGAGACGGAAGACGACGCGCAAGACCAACGGCGACTGGACGTCGTACTGTTGTTGCCGTGCGCCGCCGCTGCCGCTTCCGACGGCAGAAACGCGTGCTGCTCAAACGATAACTCGCTATGAGCGTCGACGCCGATGCTGCCGGCGGCGCCGACATGGCAGTCACTGTTGACGTACGCCGGCAGCGTCGCGGCGTCCTTTGCCGCCGCCGCCGCCGCCTCTACGGACGATAACGCCTCTTCCGGCATTCCCGGTTCGTTGGCATCGTACGGCACTGGTTGGTGCCGCGACGCCGCCTCCGACACCCCGTTTTCCCCCTTGGCCTGGGCTGCCGTTTGGAGGTCCTCGCCGTCGTCGCATTCGACGTGACGATGGTGATGAGGGGGGTTGTACTGCTCCTGCCCTTGCTGCTGCTGCTGCTGCTGCTGCATGAAGACGGATCGCAGTAGTGGTGACTGAGAGGAGGACGGCGGCGGCGGCGGTGTCTCTGGAAATCCCCGCGGGCGGCCGCCGCCGCCGCCACCGCCGCCGGCACCCCAGGCCGCTTCGGCAGCAGCGGCGGAGAAGCTCTGCGTGCGGCGCACCAGGCGCCGTCCACTCTGATGCACCAGCCCTGCCGTACTCACACCTGCCCCGGCAACGCCGCCGCCGCTGCTGCTGCGGCCGCACACGCCGACACCCACGGCGGCGGCGGCGGCGGCGCCCGCATCAGCATCGTTCGCCGCCGCCGCCGCTCCTATTGCCCAGTGCGGCTGCGGCAGTATCGCCGTACGACCGTCGCCCGGGTTATTACTGCTGTTATTATGACGATGTAGTTGTACGGCAGCGAACCGGTCGAGGGACGCTGCGAGCTCGGGGTAATTCCGTCGGAGCGCCCGCAGTGCGCGAAGCTGTTGTACGGATTCATCATCGCTTTCCTCACTGTACGGAGATGGTACGGAGATCGGCATCGACGCGAGCCGCCCCGCGTCCAGCTCCGGTGGCGGCAGCTGCCCCGGCTGCCCGGCGGGGTTGGGTCCAGGAGGTGTACGGCATCCCGACAAGATAACGAGGTGGCGGGCGCAACGCCGGGACACGCGGAAAAACAATTAAACCCTTAAGATAAAAAAGGAAAAAAATGTGTAATCGACCGGATAGAGGACAGTAGCGACATATGTACCGATATATGTATGTCGCCGCTGCATGCGTTCGGCCAAAGATTGTCCCTAAGTTTACCTGCCGCACTGCAAGTCTACAACTCTACATAATACAATTTGGAGCTCACGCAAATAAACCACACACCTCTAAATCCAAACTATTATTATTATACTTACCGCGCTGCCGCCATCCGTCGTGACCAGCCCCATCAGCGCTCGGCTGCGCGCCGGAGATAGCACGTGCAGTGTACGGGACCGCTGCAGCCGCTGCCGCCGGGCCAAAGTACGACTACTCGCCGCCGCCGGGCCAGCCGCCGCCAATCCAGAGGCCACGGCGGCCACGGACGTGTCCACGACAGCGGCCATCGGCAGCGGCCCAGCTGCCGCCACCGACAGTGAAGTATCGGCGGGCGGTGGTGCCGCCGCCGCCGCCGCCGCGCCGCTACCTGCTGTCGTTGTTGTTGTTCCGCTCGTTATCCCCCCCCCACATGGTGGTGATGGTGGTGATGGTAATGGTGATGCGTCCATGCAGCCAGGGTGCTGAGTCCAGAGCGCAGACGTGCGTGCAGCTGGGGGGTTGTTGTGGTGGTGGTTGTGGTGGTTGTGGTGCAGCAGGTGCGCCGCCAGCAATGCACCGGCGGGGCTTCCAACGGCTGCCCCCCCACCCCCAGCCCCGGGCCCCCCACCCCCGGGGCCCCCCACCCCGTCGCCAGTTCTGCGAGGTTGTTGGACCACAAGCACCGGCGCCGCCGCCGCACCAGCAGCTGCTGCTGACCCAGCAATGCCACCACCACTGCCCTGCCTGTGCTTGGAACCAGCCGCGTGCGGCTGTATGTGTGTATGTGCGTGTGCGTGCCATGCCGCGGGGGGCGGCTGCTGCTGCTGCTGCTGCTGCTGCTGCGGCGGCGGCGGCGGCGGCGCTTTGCCGGCGGCTCCGTGCTGGCTGCTGTTACTCAGGCGACTCTCCTCTAAGGGCCGCCCAGTGTTAAGCGCCGCCGCCGCCGACGCCGGTACCTCTAGAAAGTCCGTATCCGCGAGTGAGACACGCCCGGACGACATCATGCCGTACCAGCCGCCGCCGCCGCCGGCACATCGAGACCATACGGACGTGAAGCTGTCGAACTTGCCGACACCCCCAGTCCGCCAAGTGCCTCCACCTCCGCCTCCGCCGCAACGGCCGCTACAGCCACCGCCGTCGCCTCCGCCGCTACCAGCAATCGACCCTTCCTTTGCCGAGCTCACCCACAGCAGCTCCGAAGAGTTCGACTGCTGGTTATCGGGACTGAGGATGCCGCTGTAGCTGGCGCGCGGTTCATCACGCACCTCATCTGCGGCGGAGGGCGCCGTGCTGCCGCCCGTGAAGAGCCACAGTAACAACTCATCGTCTGTTTGGCAGGCCATCGTGGCTGTAGCTGTAGCTGTAGCACGGGGTTCGTTGTGGGTATTAGCGGGGCCCGTGTGAGCCCCGGAGACCCCTCCGGGATTACTTCTGTTCATAGAAACATTGCTGTTGTTGTTGTTGTTCATATAACAAATGTTGTTATTGCTGTTATTATTCGTGGTAATAGAAGTAGTAGCGGTGGTGGTGGTGGTGGTGGTGTTAGTAATGGACGCATTGTCCCAAGTGCTTATCCGCGCGGCGGAGGCGATGGCGGAGGCGGCGGGCGCCCCAACCTGGTCACGAAGCTCCGGGCTGCCGGCGCGGTGTGGACTGTGGAGTCCGGATGGCTGCTTGAGAAGACGTAAACTCCGACCGGGCCCTCCCCCTCCCCCTCCCCCTCCCCCTCCCCCTGCTGCTGCTGCTGCTGCTTTTGTTCCTGATTCTGCGGGCTTGGGAGAAGAAAGCAGACGACTGTCCGGAGCGGCTGGAAGGAAAGTGGGAGTGCTGCAGCTTTCGAAGAAACCCGCGTCCGCGAGTGGGTCATCGCTGGGCTGCAATATCGGCCCGCCCGGGGACCCGTCGCGCCTTGAGGCAGCGCCGGGAGCAGCTGCGCCCTTCACCTCGTGCGGCGCGTGACGCGCCCGGAACAAGCCAGGCAGCAATGATTTGGCCGGCAACAGGATGCCTACGACAGCCGCAGAGATGAAGAATACGTAATTTCCAGCTCCACCGGGGTGGAGGACAACATGCGCGCCGCAAACCAGCGCCGTTTGTGCGCATTGCAAGACCACGACGAGGGCCAGCATCCCCCTCCGGTTATGTTTCTGCAGAAAGCAAGTCCTAGTGAGTATAAAGAGGCTTGATGGGACAAGTTAATCAAAACTTACCGGCAAAGACACCTGCCAAAACAGCGTTGTCAGGGCCAAGTGTGAAATGTGCTCCGAAGCGCCTGCTTGTGACGCCAGCGCAGAAAGAAGCATGGCGCTAAATGCCAGGGATTGTTTCGGCGCCTGTGAGGAAGGTTAACGGTGAGCCTGGTTGGGAAGCAGTTCTGCGCGGTACACATGTCCTTACCACCAGCCAAGAAGTCGTCGATGCAGTCCTTGAAAGCGGTAGGAACTCAATTATAAACGCGGCAAAAGTACAAGCCAGCGCGCCTACGCGCAAAGCGGGGGTCTTTTGCCTTGTCCGGAGCGTTTTCCTATTACTCAACATGGGCAATCTCACGTACCAGCGCTGAGGAGCATGCGCAACCATGAGAATTCCTGAGGCAAGCTGCAGATTATCACTGCTAAAGAAACAGCAGCCAAGGACTGCTTCATTTCGCCCATACCGCCTCCCACCCAGTTGGCCTCTGCGGCGCTGCCGCCGCAAAACAATTTTCCTACTAATTTACATGCGTAGGAAAGGTGTAACCTGCGTAGGGGTGCCCTGGTTTGGGCTGCCACTGATGGCCTATATACTCCAGAACCTTCAGGGGTTTACTAACAGTTCAGACGCAGGAAATACATCGATGCGAGGCTTAAACTCCAGTCTGTCTGAGTGGGCATGAGTGATCTGCAAGCCTTGGGTGTACGATATAAAGTTCGCTCCTACAGGCAGGATCATCGATTTTCTTTTAGACTGCGCTAGAACTCGATGTCCATGAGCCTCCTGGCTCGTCTGGGCCTTACAAGCTCTTGCGAGCTGTAACATGACATAACATAACAGGATCATCGCTGTTACAAAGGTGGCCATGCATCAAGTACGTGTATCTCTTGCTTGAAATAAATATGTTTAATGCCAGCACTCACCCCAATAAGTGTCCTGCCCTGTGGCATGAAATATAAACCCTTTGCATTTGCATACCTACTGTCGCTTTTTATGGCACGTGCATAATTTGTTTACGAGACAGTATTTGATGCATAATATCAGCTTCGTGGGGCATCCGCCTGGATAGCTTGACTCCGTACGTGTAAAACATGTAGACGACAGCATGCCCATCAACAAGAGAGTTACACGGGAAATGTATAAAAAACGTTTTCATAGAACATGGTGGCAACATAGAGCCCCCAAGCTCCTCGGTCGGTCTCAGTCCAACTCATGTGGGACTCGAACAAGAGCCAACGTCTCCCGTCCTTCGTATGTAATGCGGTGGTTCAAGATCACCTTGAAGATCTAGTATATCTGGTGCGGAGAACGGCACTGGAAAATGTAGAATCCGCAATGCCGACCAATGCCCACAGCCGCAAATACTGCGCCACCGGGCATGCATTTCCCATCCCCTTTCTTTTTCCACAGAATCATCAAAACAAACTGATATCGAAACACGAGTCCATGACGCTTCCGCCATCACACCGTTCATAATCGCTCATAACGTCCCGCCTTCAATACCCCCCCCCCACCATCCACGTGCGAACGCAAGTAATCTTAACCCACGTACAGCACCGCCGCATACATGCGCTTCCCACCCTATACCCCATTTCTTCCTCCAAAACTTCCTCCGCCGCCAAAAACACAACGGCAGCACCAGCCCTGTAGTTTTTTCCCCCATCCTCTTCGCTCCACACGCGTGCCCCCCCTCCTGACCCCCTGCCCCCCCGCGCAGGGCCCCAGCACGCCCAGGACCCACCACCGTGCCGCCGTACTGACAATCCCAAACCAGTCAAATGTTGTCAGCCAAGACCCCCCCCCTCCCTCCCTCCCTCCCTCCTCCCTCCCCCCTCCCACCACGGCCCCCACACAGCTCAGTTACAGGTGTAGCGTGCCGCCCAATGCGAATGTGAATGCGCGTGCTGATAGAGATGTAATGAACGGGGGCAGAGGGCCCGGCCCCTCGTTGACTCCTAAACCTCCCCGCCAAGGCACACGAGTTATACAAACATACAAGCAGCACGGACGTCCCTCGGCCACTTGTACCCCCCCCCCTTACACTTCCCTTCAGGGCCGGGACCCCGCATTGGGGAAAGGAGCTCACACACCCAGGGGATCCTCATCGCGCAGACGCGCGCGTGCCTGTGCGTGTGTGTATATCCTTTCCGGCCCTCCACCTCCTCCTCCCCTTCGACACCGCATACATACACCATGTGCACCGCTTTGGGCGACACAGCCACACACACAGCCACACACACACGTGTATGGCAGCCTAGTAGTAGTGCAGGGGCCCTAACGGAGGCCCAGAGGACCAAAACGGCTTCGGCACCATTACGTGGCGACCGCGACCCATATTATACGACCCCCATACGCACCACCACCACCCGGGGGGGGGGGGGGCTGCACCGCTGCAGTCCCGGGCGGGGCCGGGGTGCGGTGCGGTGGGGTGGGGTGGGGTGCACGCAGGCAGGGGAAGGTTAGGGGGTTGTACGGCTGTTCGTCACGTCTTGCAACTTGGGAATGCAGGAAGCGCGGCGCGATGGTGACGACACTACCGCACTACCGCACTACTACAGTGGTGCGCCTCCCCGGCCTGACACCGGGGCTGGCTGGCTGGCATGACCTGCCAGCTCTCCAACGCTGTCTCCTTCGCATGCAGGTAGTGCTCGTGTACGGGGAGGGGGCAGTGGTTACGTCCCGTACGCGGTGGTGGTACGGCGCTGGGAGCCGGGGAAAAGGAACAAGGCAGTCCAAAACCCGGCGGGGGCGTGTTGCAACCCTCTTTCCCCCCCTCTCCCCTCCCCCCCAACACACAGACACTGACACACAAACACACGCAGACCACCTAATTCCCCCATTATTACTGCCGTACATTGGAATCCCCCATTATTACTGCCGTACATTGGAAAGCACCAACCACCAACTGAAAAGCTTGACGCCAGTCTCGGCCACCTCTACCAAGGAGGAGCCACATGAGCGCCATAAGAGGGCAACAGCACACACACACACACACACACACACACACACACACACACACACACGCACTGTGTATTGACACACGAGATTGCGGGTGGACACACTCCGTCGCCATCACCCGTCACGCCGCGCCAGCAAAGCCACGCGCGTGCCTCAAGTCTCGAGTCAACGTGGCATATGTTTGTGTTTGTATGTATGCATGTATGTATGTACACATGCGTCACGTTATGTCATCTCTTCGATATGCCGTACACCCACCTACCTAACATGCCACGTGGCATGTGGGTCACAACATCTCGCGCGCATCGCAACACGTCATGTCGCTCAAACCAGTTACGTATCTGTACGTATGTATGTACGCATGTATGCATGTACGTATGTATGTGCGTTACTGTGTAAAAAACATCTTTGGTCGACGAGAGCAACCCTTCCGTACTGTGGTGCTTGACAACGACCGCACAAGTCGAACCACAACACGGTGGCGTGTACACGACATGTACGACATGTGCTACATACGTACATGAGCACGCTTCCTTCACTGAAAGACATACATACCACCAAACACCACCACCACCACTGCAGGCGCACACACGTGTCGCATCGCACCGACGCGTCTTGTCGTACACACCTCAACCAGCATCCCGCGTCTCTAGTCATACACCGGGACTACATTACCACCCAAGTCCACATCAGGACCTCCATTCCCCCGACCCCACCCCCATCACCCCCATCACCACCACCACCCCCATCACCATCACCACCACCACCACCACCACCACCACCACCAACTGCCTCTCCCTCGTCAGTTGATGTAACGGAGGCAACGAACAACCGCCTCAACCGCATTAGTGCCGTTTGGAGGGTGTCGGTTCGTTCGTAAAACACGGACGCGCGCGCACACACATTCTTCACGGATAGGAACGCGCCCAATACTCCAATACATACATACATACATACATACATACATACATACATACATACATACATACATGCATACACATACGCCTCCCATCCCCCCCGGCGGGGGTGGGAGGAGAGCGGGCGCTAGCGGACCTGCGGCTCCTCTCGGCTATGCTTAGGAGGGGGCAGAACAGAGGGCCCCTCTCTCTCTCGCGCCCCACTCCAGAGAGCTCAGTCAGGCGGTCTCTTTGCCGTTGTTGGGGCAGCAGCTGGGCCCCAGCAGCCCCTCCCCTGTGGCCAGTGTCGTCAGGCGCGGTAGGATGGATACTTGGGACCTTGAAACCTTCATTTACACATACACACACACAGACATATGCAAAGACAACCCCACCACCACCTCTCCGCTCAATCCCTCGGGCTCATCGGCTCCCGAATCGCCCCCCACCCCCTCCCCCTTCCCCCCCTCCTGCCCCCACGCCCTGCAGCTGCGCAACGGTCATCTGCTGCTGCTGCTGCTGCTGCTGGTGATGATGATG